TAGAAAGAAGTACGAACATCTTTTTGTTTTCTTTGAATCGAATCGTTCGACAAGCATTGAAACGTGTGATACTAGTTTAAAAAGATTTAATTTTGAAATCCAATAAACGGCAGACAGGTTAATAATTAATTTGGTAATTAATTTTTAGAGGACACGTTTCTTCAAAGAACGACCTTTCAATCCAAAACAAAATTCATCCAAATAAACACACTGATATTCATATCCAAGTGCTTTGAATTACCATGATGTTGATTTAGCCATAGAAAAATGCATGGGTTGTGAGTTATCTTTCATTCTCCTTTATAGCACGCGTTGAAAAATTGATTCGAAACAACTCAGTGAACACAACAAGTACATACCAATATTCCTTTCTGTATCTTTCTGTAAGAGGAATAACAGCTGCACCTTTTTCCTGTTCTCATTCCCGCACAATTATGAAAACAAATTAATTACAGAAATTTGATCAATATATTGATTTTCTCACATAATTTTAATGGCGAAACCGAACGTCAAAACACATTTGAATCGCCACAGTACACCTGTCCTAGAGACCGAATTCAGGTAAAAAAAAAAAAAACGACTAAATTTTGTTACTTACAGCACATAAATTATAATTGATGTGGCGCAAGTGCTTAGCTGAACAACTTCCAGGTATGGAATTTCTGTCATATGTATTTCGCTAAGAAAACTATTTTCCAGAAAGTGGCGTTCTTAACGAACGGTAGATTTTGCTATCCACCAGTAAATTAAACCGGCTTGTCTTAACTGGATCCAAAGTGTTTGGATATATATTTAGTTTTCACAATTATATTCATAGCTAGGTGAAAAAAGAGATTTATTTACCATGTCTGCAATTGACCATCAGATTCCTCTTCATTAGAGGAGAATACGCACAAACCAGGTATAACGAGTCTTTTATGAAAAATCTATTGATATCAGTGGCGGACGTTTCGGCAGATTCACCATGATAGCAATACTGCAAAACACGTATTACGATACAACAAAACCACAGAGTTTTAGTCAGTGAACCAGCTCATACTACTACCAAAGTTCAAAATGTTTTCGTTAAGAGCAGTTAAAAGGTTTCTAGGTGAAACTTTGTTTTTACAGCATATGTGTGCAAGAAAAACACGCTTGTGACTTCAAAAGGGGGTAAATTGGACATTGAATTTATAATTATCTCGAAACTAATCTGTATTTTCCCAAACTAATTCAACAACAGTCAACATCAGACACCTCGAAAATGAGAAAAATACGCAGGTGGTGCAAGCCATTCGGGTCGACTCATTAGATGAAGATAGAAATACTGTAAAAAAAAGTTTGCCAAATAGAAGGCGATAATAAAAGGGTCTTGATCGGTGCCTTGCCTCACCTTAAATGTGATGGCTTGCTCGTATATCAAAGCTTATTACAATTTCATCAAGAAAAAAAACTTTAAGGTAGAGTCAGATGCTCTGGTTGAAAGGAATAGGCCGGCGGGTTTTTTACTCTGTGCGCGTGCAAAAGTGAAAAGAGTGCAATAGCACCTGTGAGGTGCTAGCAAAAGAAGAATCGATTTTGATTTCTTTAGTTTTACAAATGTTTCCCAAAAACTATTAACAGCAAACAAAAGGAAAATAAGAGTCTGAGTTTTTAATTCATCTTTAAAAGTCTTAAAAAGTGACATTACATGCACCAATAAGCGGCTATGTACTCAACGTCAGTACGTTATACTTCCTGGAGAAAGACAAAAGTGAACTGGTCCTCATTAAATAAAAGGACTCCCAAAACTTGTGGCCAGTCACTTCATAAATAACCCTATAGAAAGCGACTAGCAAAGCTCCTCTGATGGCCAAAAAGTCATCAGACGTTTGCCCACATCTTACTTTCTCGGCTTGGCGGCCAAGATACTTACAAGAAACTGTTTATAATAATCTTGTTGCTGTTATCTGCGTCAACATTACCTCAGCCGTCATCTGCATTGTGTTAAATGCTCTGGTTGTTTTAGTGGTAGTGACCAAACAACAGTTGAGAACTGTGTACAACATCCTCCTGGCGTGTTTGGCCGTGACAGACGTTCTAGTTGGCTTGCTCTTGCAGCCCTTGACCGTGGCGGCAGAAATTAAGCACATCTTTGGTCTTGGGCCGTTTTGTATGTTCGATACAGTACTAGGGGTGATCGGCATTGGATTGTGTCTGGCGTCAGTTGGCCATCTTATGTTGATCAGTGTTGAACGCTATATTTCCATAAAGTTCCCCCTCAGATATGACGACATCGTAACAGAGAAGAGACTTCTTACTGGCGTGGTGACGGTCTGGTTAGTTTCAGCTGTTGGCATAATTGCAATGATCCTTCTTGCGTCTATAAACACTGAATCAGATTTATATTCAATACTGCTGGTCGCAAACGATTTAATGTTCATAGTCGTTATTGTTGTTTACATTGTTATCATTGTCTTCACCCATACAGCTGTCTTCTTGGAAGCCAAAAAGCATAAAAGTCGTCTGCAAACCGAGCAGTTACCTGACGAAGAAGCCAAGCGCCTTAAAAAGAACCACAAGGCAGCTAAGACCCTAACAATCATCTTAACAGCGCTGTTCTTCTCCTTCCTGCCCGTAACCGTACTTTTTGGAAGTGCAACTTTCTTAGATGGTTTGGTGGAGCCGCATATGTTGTACGTATTGTCAACATGGTCCTACACATTTGCTTTCTTGTGCTCTCTCCTCAATCCACTGATTTACTGCTGGCGACTGGAAAAGCTTCGTGGAGCGTTGTTTGACATACTGCATTTAAGGCGGGCACAAGACAGCTTGGACGTGGAATTGCAAACGCAGCGAAATAATCATCGACCCCATCCTAATGATGCTTGGCCGGTAGCTCCCACCGGCTAAGGTGGGAGAAAAACTTTCAACCTGATCGATATTATACCATAATTGGATGAAGCGTTTGTGATATCCAGAATAATCAAGGTCGAGGTAGGGGTTATCAGCCGAAGCCGAACGAAATAAAAATTGTCACGACAGTAAGTGAGGCTGATAATTTGTTTCCAAACGTGTAAAAATATACACATCAGCAAGAAACACAAAGTAGGCCAACTTGACATAACTACCCTTATAAAATCATGCACCGCAGTCGTACACGACATGATTACCCGTAACCTTGAGTGTCCTTGACATGATTATTGTATAATCTGCAGCTAGATGACGTCCCATGCGCTGATTTCGAAATTCACTGTACGATTTCGGCCAATCAAAAAAGAGATCGTGAGTTGAATATATAATACAAATAAGGTACTCAGAGGCATCAAAAATATATCCATGACTAACATGATGAGGATGAAACGCTTCTCTGGGAGTAGAAAACTGATCTTTGAGGTCTAGATTTGTCCATGCTGTTTTGGGGCTCGACTTCTAAAAAGAAATAAAATCATAGTAGAGGTCATAATCCATCTCCTGTGACCAGGGCCCAGTTGTATAAAGGTCGGATAACGCTATGTATCCAATGGATAAATCACTATCCAGCGGGTAAGTGATGGCAAAACGTATAGCGTTATCCATCGTATAGAGATTTATCCAGTGGATAGCGTTGTCCAACCTTCGAACAATCGGGGCCAGGTGTTTTGTTCATCTTTGCCTGGTTTGGAAATTTTAATCACAGTTCGACATCAACAAAATATTAACAATACTAATGAACCTGCAGAGGTTTTTGGTTAGAAATATTGCTACGGTTCATACTATGACGTGTGTCTGTACAAAAGATTTACTTATTGCGGAAAATTATGCATATGTGGTAGTTTTAACAAATCAGAGCAAAAGAAACGAGCTCAATGCATTTATTTTCACTTGGCTTCCCATCTATCTTAAACCGTACAAAGATTTCGTTTGAAGAATCTGTATCGATCCAAGTCAGTGACTTTGGGGAGAAGGTTTGAAACTGAAAGCATTAATTCCGATTTTTCCCAAATAACTTTCATTTTAGATGATACACACTCATAACGATAATTCAGTCAACTTTTTATCGCCTGGAAGCGGAGGGAGAGGGAGGTGAGGATTTTGGGGGATCACTTAGTTGTAAGGGGAACGTGGGGAGGGGGAGGATCAGTCGTCCCCAACGGGATCTTTCGCGGGTGGTACATAATAGCCAATCATAAGAGAGCTGTGGTCCTCTATTGTTTATGTTACATGCAGAGAAGGAATATAGGTCAGCCTTTGCCTTTGGTCGCCATTTTTTTTGTTAGAGTGTTATGCGAAGGTCAGCGTGTTTTCGCGGGAAATTAAAGAACTCCCCACATATCTCAGCTTTAAAAATAAAAAGATACGGGACAGGGTTGACTCAAGGTTTCAATTGGTATGTAGGCTCCGGGTAATGGGCTCTTGGTTGAAATTTTAGTCTAACCAGCAGAACGTGTCTAGATGTCAGCTTGGAGTCACAAAGCTGCCATCGCTCGCTGACAAATAATTCCAAACAATAATAGTCATGTTTCTCTAAAAAATAAAATGCCGTGATATAATTTAAAGCTGATTTAATTGTTTTCGCCTGGTCTAGTTCTTTTCCTTTCCTTTTTTTCGTCTTTTTTTATCGCTTAGGGAGGTTGGAGGAATTTGATTGTGACAGGACGAATGCACGTGATCTCCCATGAGGCTCTGTAACATTTTTATGATCCCCCCCTCATTAGCAGTTAATTTTCTATAGCTCCCCCCTTTATACTCTGTTAGCGACGCTTGACCCCCCCCCCCCCTTACGTTCCCCCTAAAAATCATGTGATCCCCCTTTAATTCCATCGACCCCGCTCCCCAGGCAAAAAGCGAAGACTGGTCGCTTACCGATACAGATCAGTTGCGACATGATATGTGACGTCTCATTTCAAATTTACGGAAAAGAATTGTTCATTTTCTCATTGATTTTCAATGGAACGCTAAAATAGTTTTTAACGTGTAGGTGTTGATTTCCCGTTAATTTTTTTTATTTTTTAGCAGAAATTACCAATGGTATAACCAACAGAAGATCTAAATTTGGACAAAAATTTCGGTCGGTGATGCAACATATTTCGTGATTACTCGGCACTGTAATCTGCAAAAAAGATGAAGCTTCGCATAAATGGACGTATTATTCACATACTTTGCAACAAATGACCATTCTAGTCGTCGTTTGTTCCTATCTTCACATAGTCACTTTTCTTGCTGTCTGTAAGTTCCTTAACTTTAACGTGATGAATTTCAAGAGAAAAAGTTTTAAATTCTTCGTAAAAGGATGCAGGGAAGAGCGCTAAGCACAGACAGGCAATCCACTCCCCGATGGTGCTAAACAAGTGCAGGGCATAACCACCGTCATCAGGGCTCCAGAAAGCTTCGGAGCTACCTGTTTGTAACTTTGTTGTCGAGAACCACTTGAAGAAAGGATATCCTATGCCAGTACATGTCATAGTACAAGACACGACGAGCCTGAAAATGAACACCCATTTTGAATGGAGGCCCATTTTAGCCGTGAAGAAGGTAATAGCGGTTTGGAGCCAAAGGTATGGTATTGCGCTGACAAGAAGTAACGCGGTAGCAGCGTCATGAAGTTTTCCAAGAGGAGGTCCGAATTCTCTCCTACCAGCGACAAAGATAACCTGCACAGAAAGAAAAACGATATATGAGGGTCTGGACCCCAGGTTGGCCAGGTAGCCCGCCTAGCTGTAATCGAATAACAGCCCACATTTACATACATCTTACAACCCCGGGCGTCGTTCTCACAAGTGTAACATGAACGCAACCCCGACTAGGCGGGTTACCCAACCTTGAGACGTTTACTTGGCAAATTGCTTCCCCGGCTGACAGGGTTACCCTACCCGACAGGCCGGACAACCCACCTAAGTGGGTTACCTCACCTATCATGTAGACGTGTTCAAGATAAAACAAGAGATCATATGAACGGGCGGTTACCCCATCAAGGCGGGTTACCTCGCCTACCTGGGGTCCCCCATCTCCATGTTAACAGGCTCTAAGCGACCTCTGCATATTCTGATCTAAAGTGAATTCTTTTAGCAATTTCTGATTAACCCCTAAGCAGAGAATTTCGATCACATGAGAAGCAAGACCACGTGTTTGGTAAAGGATCGCATCTGATAAAGGTCTATCAAGAAAATTTATGCCCTGAGTTTGGATCGAAAAGATTTACAATTCAAAATTCGGACTTAAAGTGTCTATGACACTAGTTTTTTTTGTGTGTGTGTGTGTGTGTAAAAATTTAGCTTATCATATGTAAAAACCAATTCCGATAGAGGAAAGATTTCAAAAAACTGAACACTCGCTTTTTTCGGGCCCAAAAAGCTCTTATTTTGTCTTAAAGGTGTCCCGTGGACTGGTAACGAATTAGCGGGTGATGGCGTAGAAAACTACGAAAACTCTCCGTTGACATTTACAAATCTCTCACATCTCTTGTAATTTTGTATCAGTCAGCGTTGAAATACTCTTGAATAATGTCAGATAGCGATGTATACCTACCTTCGGCAAGCCCTACCGAGAGTTTTGATACATCGTACTCAAGTGGTAAAGAAATGGAAGTTGCGAGCACGATTCAGCCCTACGAAGGAGAACCGTACAAACGAAGATATCTACGCACACTGACCAAGACGGTTTCTTGTGTGCGGTGTTCAGGTCAAGATTAGAACAAAAATCTCCCGTTACTAAATGTTTAGTTTGTTTCGTTTGTGATTTGTTTCCTATGTCGAAATCTATGTTGAGAATGGGTAGTTTTTTATACTTGTTCGTTTTTGTTGACGTAATATTTTATTCCTTCGCACTAAGTGCGGCGAAGGTTGCCCTTGGTCACTGCTCTAGAGTTTCGTTGCTGTAGAATGATTCCCTTAGCAAACCACAAGCTAACATTTGACGAAACAATCGGCTGCATCACGAGGCACGATGATTTTGTGCCGAGAAGTCATCGGGCAGTTTCGCTCCTGTGATTGAAGGGGCTAATTTAATTTGAAGATTTTACGGCTTGAAAAATGCAAATCATGCTCCTTTCCTCAAAGATTGCAAAGGCAGAGGCTGTCGTCGTCGAGCCGGTCAAACGAAAAATGAGCAAGTTTGTCCGATTCAAGTAAAACTTCAAATAGAGATTTTAATAGAGAGAACCTTTTAAGTGTAACTGCAGCATTGCCATATGACCCCTTTCGCTCAATGGGAAATAACTGACATCAGTATTTTAAATTAATATTTCGTATGCATCGACTTTCAAACGGCCCCTTCAGGCTTGTGTTTATGCCAGTATCCGTCAAAGGTTTCGCACTGTTCACGCAACAGGATATCGGCCAGTTCAGGAGAGGGCTCGAACTTTATCATAAATTATGTATTTCTGGTAACAAAATACGATGGAAACTACAACTAGCAGGATTTTCATACGATAAGAAAAGCGCAAATGTAGTCATGTGGAAAGACAAGGAGTATGAGTACATCTCAAGCGCGTGAAATAAACCTGAATAATAAGGAGCCCACCATTCTTCACTTGCGACATGTCAGCCGAAAATAATGTTGAACAATCGTTTGCGGTGTGGGAACAGGAACCTTAATCAGTATTCTTTTAAGCTGAATTCTTTGGTTATCTTCCCCACAAAAAAATGGTCGAGGAGAACTCGCTAGGCGCATAAATTGATTATTTCTAATGTTGAATACAGCTATCAACCAAAAAATGCAAAAACAAATTTCGTGCCATAGGCACTTTAACGGGGGTATCCTTCTCAACAACAAACGCCCAGCAATAATTTATTTTTTGCAGTAAATATCGAGGTAAAGCCTTCATTTGTAAATATGCAGTAAAAGCTATTATAAGAAAATACTTGCAAAGGAAAGACTGTTTTCGAAAACCATGGTAAATCAAAAGACAAGTTTCGAAGTTAAAATTGAAAAAACGGATTGCGTGGTTATTGTGATCCTAACAACGCCTCATAAATTACGTGCTATTACACGAGACAACATGGTGAGATGTTATTAATTGATGTTATTAAACATAATAATTCTAGGACTATTTTAATTTAGTCATTGAGAGAAGAGTTGATTGATTCCAGCAGCTATTGCTTGTTCTGTAGCTGCGTCTTCGCTTCGAATAATCGTCACTCAGAATTGAAGTGATTTTGAAGCCACGCGATTGATCGGATCTAGTGAGGTTCACGAAAAATAACTCGGAAATTGGAAAAACTCAATGATAAAAGCCTTTTAACATACACCCTTTTTACCGAAATAACCTATTTCTGTTGTTCGACAATTTGACTTATTAGCCCAAAGTCCTAATTCTTGCGGTTTTCTCAGCCATAATACATACCACTTCGGCAGAAGACCTGACACTTGCGACCAGGACAACTCCTATGAGACACGAAATGCCAAACCGTAGAGCAACTTTGTTTAACCTGATGATCTTACTTGAGAATTCACACTCCAGGTCACCAGGGATTGCCTGAACCTGAACATACCGAGCCACCATCATTGCCAGTCCAAGAAAAGCCACCAAGGTCATCAGAGCACCAAAGAGTGACGCCTGTGGTTCGAATGAAGCCGCTTTGCTAATGCTTGGTAAGAAAGGGTAGACATGGCCAAGTGATACGGCTATGATATACGGAGTTATGATGGTAATACAAACCAAAACGGGCCAGATAACTGGTATGAGACGTATTGAACGCGATGAAACTATCATGGTTGAACTAAGCTTCACTCAACTGTGGCACAGAGAATATTGTTATTGAGCAAATGCACTGAGCATTCCACTGGTTGATCGCAGCGTAACCTGTGGTTACCGCGTCAACTGCAACACTGTCATCGGAAGTGTAGTGATTGAAGTTTTAATCTAGAAGAAGAGAGGCCACTGAAATTGCATCATGAAGATAAAATAAGTATCAAAGATGTGTTAATTAAGCCATTACCATTATCTTCTGTACCACCTCGAGATACCCAAATGCTGTGTAACCCTGAGAAACAAAGAGAGTTAGCTAAATCTACCTGACCCATACTTCATTATGCATACAGTCCTTTGTTAGAAGAAACAATAGCGCAAACAATAGATTACCTTTGGGACTATCCGCTTTGTTTTATGATTAAAAATTGCGCTTAATCGAGCGCTGATTTAAAATATT